TTTCGAAAATTCGAACTTATGTTCGAAAATTTCTAATGTTATTAAAATCACCTGTAAATCATGAAAATTCAAAAAAGTTAAATATTAATAAAGATATTCGTAACAATTTATTAAAAATTTTTCATACAAAATTGTTCTATAAACCTTTGATAAAGTGTTATGAATAAGGCATAGAAAATATTTTTAAAGAACTTATGTTGGAAAGTTCACTTAAATTAATAGTAGTAAATTGATTGAATATAGATCCCTTTCTTGTTCGAATTTTTGTAATTTCTATAACATTTTCTTTTTGCTAAAAATCTCTTTTTATTTGTTTACTTTTTAACAGCCGCATTTTGTATATCTTTCGGAAATATGGCAATCATTGGTATTATATTTAAATCATTTAGTTGAGATAAATAAAATTAAAGATCACTTTGATAATCTACTAAATGAAAACCTGGAAAATAACTTCCAACAACTATTAGAGGAGTTAAGTGATAAAAGCAAACACCTAAAACAGCCTTTAAAATATACATTTGAAGAACTAATGAAGTCTAATATTAAACGTGAAAGTAAACTCAACATGTTAAACATAGTAAGAACTATTAAATTATAAACGCACAATAAACATTTTTACAAAATTCTATATTTTCTAGAAACCATTTGTTAAAGATTATTGTGGTCTAACCCTGGCTTTAACTGGTGGACTTTTGGTGCCCTCCCAATTGGAAAAGAAACTTTGCGAAAATGTTGATTTGCTTTTCGGGTTTGCTAACATGGAATATGCTAAATTTGCCGAACGTTATTTTAAGGATTTTATAAAAAAATTTCGTAATACAATCCTAACAAGTACAGATTTGATATTACTTTTCGAACTTGATGAGGAAGTAATGCAACAAGATTTTGATTTAATACAACAAACAAAAACAAAAACCAATAGCTTAGAAACTCAAACTGAAAATATATTATTAGATGAGCATTTAACCAGCAGACAAGTAAACAGAAGCTGGAATGTTTGGGATTTTCATCGTCAAACCATAAATTTAGCTAATATTAGAAAAAAGCAAACACATAATACACAAACGAAATTATGTTATGGCCTAAGAAATGCTCAAAATCAAACGGATAGAAAAACCTCTAATAGTACACATAATTCAAGAATATAACTTACCTCTTTTATTGGGATCATCCTCATAAACTGCTATACGATCATTGCAGACCACATATAAGAACTTATCTTGCCAACTAATGGAATAAATGGGTTTGCCGCAAATAGAATTATAAGTAATGGGTTGTTTATTAGAACCCTCTATATTGAGGATGCCAATCTGAAATAAATAAGAAAAGAAAAATTTAGAATTAAACTTAATATTTTAGCATTAAAAATACTTACTCTTCCTTCCATTGTACCATAGGCTAATTTTTTACAATCTGGACTCCATACCAAAGACATAACATTCGATTCAATGCGCTGTACAAAATTATCAATATGCACAGAGGTAGGGGTCATTTTGGAAATGTCTATTATGCCAATACGACGATCCGAAAAACCCAAAGCAATTCTAATTTTAAAAGAAAATATTACAAATAAAAAATATTCTTTAATATATCAACAGTTAAACTTACTTATTCATATCGTCGGGACATTCCTGCATGGCACCTATGTTTGTTGAAACACAACTATAGTTTAATATAATTTTATTCAATTTTATATCCTCCATAGAGACTTCGCGATAGGATGATATACTCCAAATTAAATGTTGTTTGGGAGAACAGGCAAATGAGATCACAGAACGTTGAGACCAACGTCGTTTTGTTTCCTTAAACTTGTACGGCCTAAAGCCACATTGTTGAGAGAGCTGGATATTGGTCAGTGGTTGCATACACCACATTTGCAACTCACCGGCTTTATTGTTGATTATTACTGAGGTAGGTGATATCCAAGAGATTTCAATATGAGTATCTAATAATAAACAAAAAAGAATAATAATAATTTCTTCAAAATAATTATTTTATTTAGAAAATTTACTTTTGCCTCCATGGGAAGAACGAACTTTATGCGAATCACAAGTGGCCCCAGTAGTAGCATTCCAAACGCAAAATCCTCCATCAGCGCTGCTAGAGGCCAATAAAATATCATAGACCTCATTATCCTTCTTCTGTATTTCTTCTCGCAACTCCTTTTTATCGGTTGAGCATTTAGTTTCACTTATAATTTGTATGTCATCCTCCATGGAATGGGCTTCCATGTTGTCGCTAGTTTTAAGTTGTTCGTTATCCTGCGATTGACTGCTATGCACCTCAGCTTGACAAATTATATTCTGCTGTTTATTACGATGCATACCGTCGACATCTACACTCTCTTCTGAGGAAGGAGTACGACATGCTAAACGCACCAAACTACCATCAGACGATTCTTTATCGGATAATTGGTCTTTGCCTTTATCATCAGCTTCGTCGTCGCCATCACTGCCACACGAGGATAAATCATCTCGGCTACTGGCTGCCAGTTTACACTCTTCCAAACTGATTGTTTGCTCGGGTGATGTATGCGCCGGTTCATCTCTTAAGGCATTAATTTCTTCTTTAAGACTTTGACAAGCTTCGGCAAAATCAAATTTTGCAGTTGTAGAAGATTCTGTGGGTTTTTCTATACCCACAAAATCTGAAACAAAATCATTTTTCAATCTCATTTCCTGGCTGGGAGCACCAAACTCATTGTCCAAATAATCATAGTCATAAATATCGAAAATGTCGTCTGCGTCTATAGTACGATCTGATCTAGTCAATTTTCCCGCTTTAGATTGTTGCTTTTGTGCGGCTTTAGGTTTTGGCGCCTCCACCGGCTTTTCAACTGTAATATCGGCTGTTATATCTACACGATTCCAGGCCAAAGATGTTATGAAAGTGTCATGACCTCTAAGAGTATATAAGGTGGCCATTTTCTGAAGATCGCACAGTAAGACCAGACCTCGCTTGGTACCAATAGCAAAATGATTTTCATTATAGGGAGAGCATTTCATTGAAGTCATTTGATGATTTCTTGACGATATAAACATGGGTCGACGATAAAATGAATTTGAAGCCACACAATATACTACAATATCTTGATTATCTACCGAAAGCACATTTCTGTTGCACATATAACTAATTAGCACTTCACCGGCATGCTGAGGTGAAGGGCCATTGCCCTCCATATAACGCATATAAGCCAAATGGGCTTTATGACCCTGTATAGCACAACCTTTATTGAAATCCCATATTTGTACAGAATTATCTTGTAGTAAAGCGGCAAACAGTTTTGCTGGCTCCTTCTCTTTACCGCCAGCAGCTGTATTTTTATCTAACTCTTCACTGGAACCAATATCGCCACAATCACTGTCCTTTTGACCCCAGTGCGGATCAACATCTAAGCTCAGTATGCCTTGGCGTGTGTGGAAGCATTGTATTTTAGGTGTCTCACTGTCGGTCTCTATAGAACTAATAAAATTAATGCTGCGAGATCCTGCATACAGGAAACCACCATCCGGTGTACAAACACAACCATTGTTAAGATTCCATTGTGGAACCAAAGGTATTTTAACCATAATTAGGTTGAAGTTTCTTTTTTATGAAATAATGGGTTTATATTAATTTAAAATCGCTTTTAGAGAGAATAATTAAAAAAAGTCCTTGTCCAAATTCCTTTTACAATTTATCCTTCACGCGTTCTATTGTTTTAAATACCGTTTCAGAGCCCTGCGCCGACAAATATTAACGGCGGCTTCGACTGACACTAAATATGTCGGCGGCTCTAAGCCGGCTAAATTTTCAACTACGTTTAGTTTTTAAACTTTCAACGATTTTAAATAAAAACGGAATCCGAGAGATCAGAAAGTGGGATTTTGGAAGCAAATATATTGTTTATAACAACAAAACAGAGCAAGCTCAAAAGTTGTGTGAGAAATTATGCAGGGATGAATAAAAAATTATAAAAGAAATTTTAAATTTGATTAATTCTTAAAAATTAGAAACAAATCCTTTCACCAAGTTGTATGATGATCGGCATATATTTTCCCAGGTATTTATTTTTACCGCATAGTGTAATCTATATAATAAAATTTTAAATAATCTAAATAACATTTTAATTTTTTTTTTTTTTTTAACTTTAATTTGTAATACGCCATTAAAAGCTCCTCTCAAAGACCTTTCACATGATATCAATGTTAATTATCATACCTTTACGTGAAATATAAAAAAATAGGAAATACTTTAAAAAAGTTCCTTTTTATTATTTGATCCAGATCACCAAACATTGGTCTAAGGACACAAATTTTGGGAAACGGTATCTTATAATGAACCACGAGATGAGAACTACGAGCTGTTAAAAGTTAATTTATTTTCAATAGCTGTCGGCGGTAACATGGCAGCCAGCAGATCCATTACATTATTTTTCAAACACAAGCACATCCCGCTGCATTGTAAAATAATTTCAATTGTGTGTCATTGCCAGTCAAGTGCTTGCCTTCTCGCTGCTGTTAGAGCAACGGTTCCAAAATGGGGGTCCGGAACCCACAGTAGTTCGTAGCAAAATCCTATGGGGTCCGCCCCCCCCCCCCGCAATCGCAACAAATTCTAAAAACGATGTGTTTGAGTTTCGGAATAGCAATAGCTTCAATTATTGACCAAGATCTCCATAATTTAAAGTCATATTTTTTTAATTCTACCATAATTTTATCATAACGCCAAACTTTTGTAATAATAATAGGGGGCTGTACTAGTTATCAATATAAATTTGAAGGGGAAAAAATGGGCGGTATAGAATCAGTGGGTTGGCATCCCTTATATTAATCAAATACTAGAATTTGTATATCTGAAAAACTATAATAGCTATAATCTTAAAATTTTGCAGGGTCAGCTTTGATTTCTTAATTTTAAAAATTAAATTTTAAACAGTTTAAAGGTTAAATCGTTATTTACAAAGAAATTTCACAAACTGCCAAAAACAATCTTCACAGCTGTTTATGACATTTAAATTTGACTTTAACTTTGGGACAAAACAAAAATGTTTTTTGTATATTCTTAGATAATTTTGTTTTCAAGGAAAATTATAAAACATTAGTGAAATTTTTAACAAAATTAAACAAAATAAATTAAAAATATATATTTTGTGTTCGGCAAATCCCTTGTGCCTGTAATTGTTAATAACAACGGAACGAGTGATTGGTGCTGTGGTCAGAAGAAAAAAAGAAAAAGAGTACAAACGGTCAATTTATAGCAGGGACAATGTTTTATCGTAGATTTTTTAAATCAGTGTTATTTGGCATACCCATAGGAGTAACATTTCTAGACTGTGTGGGTTATGTAGCTCGGGTGGATGGTAAGTTAAACAGTATACCTCAAAGTATTAACTCCATTGACTTGGCATTATTTACAGGTATCTCCATGCAACCGGCTTTAAATCCAGATGCTACACAAACCGATTATGTGTTCCTATCACGTTGGGCGGTGCGCAGCAATAATGTACAACGTGGTGATATTGTCTCTTTAATATCACCCAAAGATCCTTCACAGAAAATTATTAAGCGGGTGGTGGGCCTTCAAGGCGATGTCGTATCGACTTTGGGTTATAAACAGGAAATTGTGAGAATACCCGAAGGACACTGTTGGGTGGAGGGAGATCATACAGGGCACTCTTTAGACTCTAACACATTTGGACCGGTAGCTTTAGGTCTTATGACAGCAAGAGCTGCTTTTATAGTTTGGCCTCCAGAAAGGTGGCGTGCTTTACCCACAGAATTGCCTGGAAAAAGGAGACCCATACATACGGCCAAATCTACTAACTATCATTAAGAAAATTTGCCTAATATAGGAGACTAAAGGAGTCGGATACTGATGAGCCACTATGTGTTGTGTTTTATTTTATTTAATGTTCACTTTATTTAAAAAAGTGTCTTATTCTGTAAATAGTTTGATTGGACATCGTATACTAAAAAAAATATATTTTTCAAACACTTATTTAGTTTTGGCTTTAAAAAATTGGTAGTTTATCATTAGAAAATTAGTTTATAAAAAATATAGTTCAAATATAAATTTAAACGGAAAAAAATTTAAAGTGTTTGTTGCTAAATAGATTATCGGTTATCAAAAGAATATTCCGGAAATATTAGGTCACAGTTGAAGATTCCATTATGGTAGAAATATGAGAAAAGGAAACTTTAGAAGGTTTATTTTTTACGCTCATACAAAGCTTAGGCCAATAGTTTGCATTATAAAGATTTTAATTTATAAGACAGATTCTTTTTGGATATCAGATCCCTTAGATTTTTTCTTTTTATTTCCACTTACATCAACTTTTTTTAAATATAGCACAACTTCAATTAAAAAAAATTATAATAATTTTACTCGTATGCTAAAACTTAACAACTAAACCCTCGTAGTCTCAAATGATTTAAGGCCATGAGCGTGTAATACATCTAATGTTTGTTTTAAAGCTACACCTTCCCGCACAATTTTAAACAAACCCGGCGTAGCTAAATCCACAACAGTGGAGGCTGAACGTCTCTCTTCTGTTAAACCAACTTGACCAGCATCGAATATACCGCCCAGTAGTGGCCATAAAATATCAAATTCTTTAATATTTAAACTGCTGCGTTCCGAAGAACGATTGGCACTGGTCAGAGCCAAAGGTTGTTCATCAAAGCTAGCACATAGTTGTTGTATAAACTCGAAATCAGGAATGCGTATACCAATTTTACTTGTTGTTGGATTTAGAAATGGATTACTTAAGTGTTTTGAACGTTCTATCACTATGGTAATAGCTCCAGGCAATAACTGCTCCAGTAAAGAATCATTTAAATGTTCTGCTTGGCCATATTTGCGTAAATCTGCTAAATCTTTAACACAAATAGCCACCGGTTTATGAAAGTCTCGTCCCTTAATATTGTACAAATTTTGTATAGCTTTCTCGTTGTTGGCGTCGCATGCTAGACCATATACCGTATCTGTGGGTAAAGCTATAACGTTTCCGGATCTTAAACAATTTACAGCGATTGTTATACTCCGGGGATCTTCCACTTTATAGATGGCAGCAATTTGCCGCAGCTCCTCGGTAAACGACTGCATTGTGGTGTATGGTTTAAAACTTGGGTGAATTTTTAAAAATTGTTTTATAATTTTTGGCAACTTGGACATCAAGGTAATAGTTTTTGTTAATTAAACGTTTACTTGATAATGATATTGTAAGTTAAACTTAATCGCGCCAGTTGTGACCGCACAATTGATTAGCACATTTATAGAAAGTGGTCATAGGTTCATCAGCAGAACGTGTTTGCATTTGCATAAAGTATGCCTTCTTATGAGAACAAGAAGGACACTCGGCGTCAGTAGAATCTACATTCTCCCAGGCAGCTGCACCGCCCATAACATGATCAACTTCCTAGAATTTATAAAAAGTTATTATTAACTAAATTCTTATTATAGCATATCATTTTCATTACCTTCAAACGTGGAAAAGTTTTTGTTGATGATTTCCTATTTACGTTAAATATATAGGGACAAGTGTTGCAGGAAAAACGATGTCCAGTGGTACCTTGTTCTACCATTAATATATTACTGCATTGAGGGCAGAACAACAACATATTTCGAGTCTAATACATTGGGTTTTTTGCAAAGAAATAGATGATTAAATACGCTTAAACTGAATTACACAAATTGTGCACGATTTTTGTCAGTCTGACCGCAGAGCCCTGCGCCGACAAATATTAACGGCGGCGGTGACTGACACTAAATATGTCGGCGGCGGCTTAAAATCGACTCTAAGCCGGCTAAGTTTGCAACTACGTTTAGTTTTTAATTTTTCAACGATTTTAAATAAAAACGGAATCCGAGAGATCAGAAAGTAGGATTTTGGAAGCAAATATATTGTTTATAACAACAAAACATAGCAAACTCAAAAGTTGTATGAGAAATTATGCAGGGATGAATAAAAAATTCTTAAAAATTAAAAACAAATCCTTTCTCCAAGTTTTACTAGGATCTGCCGATATTTAACCCTATCTTCCATATAAAACATCTTGCAGAAAATCAGTTTCTAAAAAATTTTGCATTAAGAAAATTATCAATAATAATAATATAAATAAGAAACCTACTTAACAATTTTGATGATTCTAACTACAATAGTTTTCCAGATATACAATTTGTTACATATGGGAGATTTCACGTTTAATTTAATCTATGAAAAATTTGAATAATCTAATAGTTTCCAGATATACAAAATTTTGTATTTAATTCATATGGGAAGTGCCAAGCCCCCCATTGAAAGTTCGCCCGTTATTCTCTAAATGTTCTTCAGTAAAATTTGAAGATTATAGCTCTAATAGTTTCTCAGATATACGAATTTTTCTATTTAATTCATATGGGAGCTCCAAGCCCCCCAGATGAAAGTCCGCCCTTTTTTCTCCAAAATGTTCAGATGAATATTAAAGTTGTTCGTGCAAAATTTGAAGAATTTAGTTATATTAGTTTCCCAGATAAACGAATTTTTGTATTTAATTCATATGGGAGGTTCCGCTCCCCTCATTGGTAGTCCCCCAATTTATTACCCAAAATGTTTACATGGATGTTAAAGTTCTTCCAGAACAACATCATTTAAAGGGATCACAAAGAGATTGAAAAATATTCCAAAAGTTTCACTTTGAAAACATTATTAGAATGTATGAAAACTCGCAACTTTAAAGGCAGACTATTCCTATTTTAGCGGTAATTTATGATTAAAATAAGCAAGAAGTAAGAGTTATATTCGGCAAATCATATGTCGTAAAAAAACAAATTTCGGAAGTGGTCCGATCATTAGATTAATAAGAACGTCACCGTGATTTTCAGATTAGGGACTTAAATGTGGATTTGGATCAATAATATATATAATTTAAAGTATTTTTTTTAATTCTACTATAATTCTATCATAATGATAACTTTTGGAATGATGTATTAGCTATAAACTGATTTTCTGTAAGAGGGTTATATTGGCGGACCGATCCTCATAACTTTATTTTTCGGTTCCTAAAAATGTTTTTTTCGTCGACATTTGAAATCCATTTATGTGCGTTTAAGTCATTTTCTCAAGAAGATTTCATATACATACATATTTGCATTACATATTTTCGTTCCAACAAAAATTGTTTTATTATGGTATTATTAAGTACGTAAAAAACGTTAAAATCAATTATTGAAGGGGGCAGGGTCAATTATGGCCTATAGAAATTTCGATTGATATCGAGCCATTTTTGCAAAATGGACGTAAGCGAGATACATTTTCGTTCAATTAGGATACTGCGTGTTTAATTTTATGTTTATATATTCAATATTTTAGAAAATTCAAAAAGTACCAGTTAAAGAACGAAAAATTACCAGAAATACTCCAGTTTAAATTTTCATTCACTCAAGTTCCTGATTGCTTAGTTTTATGTTTTTAGGTTCATTATAATAGAAAATTCAAATAGAACCAGTTGAAGAACGAAAAAGTTCCAAAAAGTCCCCTTTTATATGTTATCACTTAATCCGGGCTGTACATTATTAATTTTATGTTTCTAGGTTCAATATTATAAAAAATTCAAAAAGTACCAGTCGAAGAACGAAAAAGTACCAAAAAGTCCCCTTTTAAATGTTATCACTTAATTCGGGCTGTACATTCTTAATTTCATTTTTCTAGGTTCAATATTATAAAAAATTCAAAAAGTACCAGTCGAAGAACGAAAAAGTACTAAAAAGTCCCTTTTTATAGATTATAATTTACTCCGGGCTCTACATATTTATTTTTATGTTTCTAGGTTTAATTTTATGGAAAACTCAAAAAGTACCAGTCGAAGTACGATAAAGTTCCCATTTTATAGATTCTCATTTACTCCAGGCTCTAATTGCTTAATTTCATGTTTCGAGGTTCAAATTTTGTAGCAAGCTCAAAAAGTACCAGTCAAAGAACGAAAAAGTACCAAAAAGTGCCATTTTATAGATTCTCATTTACTCCAGGCTCTACGTGCATAATTTCATGTTTCTATGTTCAATTTAACAGAAAACTCAAAAAGTGCCTTTTGAAGAACTAAAAAGTACCAAAAAGTCCACTTTTATAGATTCTCAAGTGCTTAATTACATGTTTCTAAATTCTAAGTCAAAAAAGTACCAGTTGCAACATCGTATTGGGAGCCCGTTATTATGTATTCATATGTTAAGTTAATAAACCAAAAACAATGTTTTATAAAAAAAGTACCAAAAATAGGTACAATTTTCACCCCTTAAACGTCCGAATATCCAAAAAGTACTAAATTCATATTTTTATTTGTTCGTCAAGTTATGAAGGATTCAAAAATATTTTTTGAATGTTCTCTGGTTTAAAAGATACATGGGGTGCAAAAGAAGTACCAAATTACAGTTTCTACCCGTTTATTCCCCAAAGGAGCCGAATTTGAAAAAAGTACCAGACACCTGTCCGCTTATATTTTAAATGAATGACGATAAGCTTTAAACTGTTTTTGTATCTTTTATAGTTTAGGAGATATGAGGTTACCGAATTTACCCGTTTTTACCGTTATTATGTATTCATATGTTAAGTTAATAAACCAAAAACAATGTTTTATAAAAAAAAGTACCAAAAATAGGTACAATTTTCACCCCTTAAACGTCCGAATATCCAAAAAGTACTAAATTCATATTTTTATTTGTTCGTCAAGTTATGAAGGATTCAAAAATATTTTTTGAATGTTCTCTGGTTTAAAAGATACATGGGGTGCAAAAGAAGTACCAAATTACAGTTTCTACCCGTTTATTCCCCAAAGGGGCCGAATTTGAAAAAAGTACCAGACACCTGTCCGCTTATATTTTAAATGAATGACGATAAGCTTTAAACTGTTTTTGTACCTTTTATAGTTTAGGAGATATGTGGTTACCGAATTTACCCGTTTTTACCATTTTTAACCCCCTAATCATTCGAATTTCCAAAAATCCCGTCTTAGTGGATCTATTTGGTGGGAGACCAACCTCCTGTACAAATTTAAGCTCTTCAGCTAAAATCGTTTAGGCTGTGCGATGATGAATCAGTCAGTCAGTAACGTTAGAATTTTATATATGTATGTATGTATGTATGTACATATATAGATTTCGTGCATTGAATTATACTGTAAAAACATTCTAATGTTCGACTTGAATTCAAGTTTCGTTTTCACTGGAGAATGCTATTGAATTAAAGTGCAATGAAAGTGTATTTCAACACTTGAAATTTGAATGTTTGACTGGAATTAAACTTGTTTTAAACTTTAATTCCAGCAAGAATGCTTATTTGGTATAGTGTGACAACTATAAGGGATCTAAAGTCGACATAAAGCCCACAATGATTAGTACCAATATTTTGCCCACACAACATCTACATACCTAGCCAGGTTATATCCTCTAGTTCCGTGAAGACATTCTCTACAAAGCTATAAATTTGTATAAAAGACGGCTTAACAATTGTTTCTTGTAAATATTCGGCCACCATAGTGTTTGGAGACAACAAGAGCTTCACTGAAAGGCACACCTGACAGACATCGCGCTCTATTATGGGTGTATGGTAGTGATTCTGCTAAGATCAATGGTATAAGAATAAGTATGTATCTCAAGGATAACCCCTGAATACGGCAATCAGCTTCCTTCCATTGCCTCTAGGTGATAATATACCATGTCACCACTAGCCGACCGACCACCACCCGCCTAGGCTACTAGGGAGGTATACAATTGCCACTCTCTTGTGGGCATTCTTCCAGGAGACCATCATGATGCCTCCTCTTTCTTGAAAAGAAAGACGTTCTTTATAGATAAATAAATAATTAATTAACACCATTACATACATTTTTTAATCTTCTAGATCTCACAAATATGCCAAATATAGATTTCGATAAACACTTTTGGGTATTAAACGAAAACAAACCCATATAATTATTAACAATTTAACTAAATTCAACCCAACACTTGCTGTTTCTTTGTACAATGACCCTCGGTATAGTAGTATAGCATACAATCTTATTAATTTTAATTTTTAGTAAAAAATTATTTTTTTATTTAAAGAATATCATTTCTGTCATTTTAGATTTTCGCACACACACAACAACAGATTTTTTTTGGCAAATAAAAAATGCAGAAAACTGTTTGGCGCGAAAAATTCTAGCAGAATTTCTTTTCGCAGTCGGCAGAATTGACATCAACTGCACTTCCCATTTGAAATACACATGTTCGATACCCTAGCCCTTTACGGTATGACATACCAGCAATGTAAAAAGGTGTAGCTCCGTTGACGTCAACGAAGCTGGTTTGAAGTCAAAGCAGCGACTCGAATTAGGCGCGAAAACACGAAAATATCTGAGGCGAAGCATATACATCGAAGGTTGAGCAAAGTTCTACACCGGCCAAATTTCAATGAGCGGCTTATTATTAGATAAAAGAAAACTTGCTTAAATGAAAACAAATTAATTTTATATTGTAAAATTCCACAAATTTAGCGAAAGTATTCTGTAAATTGTACAAAATATGGCGAAATTTTCAAGCCGTATTAAGCTGAAAAATTTTTGGCGGCGGCGGCTTTGACATTTCGTTCGGCGGCTAGGCTTAAGCCGAATCGGCGCAAGTCTCAGTCTGACCGTGCAGCACGTTTTTGTAGTCAGCTGTTTTGTAAAAAAAATAACAAATTTGACATTTCGTTTGTGAATATGTCATGTAGGGTTTTATAAATCGATTTT